AAATCCTGATGCTTCTTGACCTCCCTGAAAGCCTGTGAAACATTACACTATAGAACTCCCTGCCTTCAGAGTCACATATTCTAAACATCTTCACATTTCCACTCATTTTCTGGTTCCAGTCAAATGCAGGACAAGGTTTTCCTTTTTAATGCGTTTCATGATCTTATTGCACATAACCTACAAGGTCTCAGTCTCATAAACTTCAAATAGTGTCCTTCACTCTCATACTTTGCACCATTTATCTGTCCTAAACACCCTCCCATGGTTTCATGGATATCATACATTGGTCCTTAGATTATGGAAGCCTGTGTCTTTACACAGCATTCTAAACCTTTCCAGACCCCTTTCAGGAATCTGATTTGTTTTGTATAGCTCCATATTTCACCTCCCTTTAAAACAACCTGCTTACAAAAATCAGACATAAAAATACAAAAGTGTCACAGTATATTACTGAAGAATGTCTCTCATTTTTACCATACAATTATAAATGAAATGACATTTAAATATTGTAGTTATATTTCAGTGTATAGAGCAGTATATATGAGGCATTGTATGACATTTTAGTTTGGACAGATTTTTCCACTGCTTTTTATGTAGCCTGTTGTAAAACAAGGCAAATAGCCAGATGAACTGATGTACCTCCTAGATGACCTGGTTAAGAGCTACTGCCTTAACAAGTGGAAGCTTTCCAACCTTAACAAAAATTTAAATATAATCTTTAAAACAAAACAAAACAAAACGAAACAAAACCCAAAAGCTGTCTAGCTTGCTTTCTGTTTCCCCTCAGCTCTAGGGTACAATTCATTTTTATATGTTTTAATCTGATATGTTATGCTTCAGTAATTATGCACGTTTTGCAAAGCACTTTATAGAATGCATTACCAATGATGAGAGAAGAACCCAATAGTGTTTTGGGTTTCATGACATTCATGGTAGCTTTTATTTGTCATACTTTCTGAACATTTACCAACCACTTTCCCCCCCCGGTAAGACACTGTTTTTCAAGGGAAATTTAATTTAAAACTGTATATTCCTAAGTAGATGGAAGGCTGCATTATGCAAGTAATAAAGATTATTGCTTGAAAGTAATTGTTGGCCAGCCTCTGATTCTTAGGGGAATAATGGGGAAAATATGCTGCTGCCCAGAATTTGTGTTTTACGGGAACTAAAATGAGACTAAAAGAGCTTGGCTTGTCTAGCCTAGTAAAATGATGGCTGAGAAGGGATATGACTGCTCCCTATAAATACATCAAAGGGGTAAACACCAAGGAGGGAGAAGAGATATTTAAGCTTAAGTATAATGTTGGCATAAGAAGAAATAGGCATGATCTGTCCATGAATAAATTTAGGTTGAAAATTTAAACAAGGTTTTGAACTCTCAGAGGAGTTTGGTTTTGGAATAGTCTTTCAATTGTTGTAGAGGCAAATAAACCTACTCATTTTTGCTTGAAATATTACAAACAGGATTTATGACCAGGTTGCCTGTGATACCAAGGGCCTGGACTTAATAACCTCCTAGCCCTCTGCTCCTAACTGAAAGCTCAGACATTCCGAGTTGTCTCCTAAACCTAGACTCTACCATCTTCAGGCAGCTACCAAATCTGATAAAAAAAACACTTTTTCTGTCACTGTGTATCAGTATTATTTAATTCATCCACAATAACCTTCCCAGGCCTATCACCTGAAATGTGGTATTACTGCAGCCTTGATATGGTTGCTAGAGTTGTGGTTAAGCAAGTATTTGCATTATACATTTCACAGACTGGAACTTCTAAACTTGTCCTGGGAACTGTTCTTTTCCCCTACTCTGCTCTATTACAGTAATTCTGAAATAGAAAAACCCTAGACATTTGTGAAGAGTTATATCACCAATTACTCTAGAAAAGGTATCGTTGGCTTACAAAAAACATACATAAAATGTTAGAGATTAAAGCCTACATTTAAGTGAAATGATGAAGGGCATATTCTTATTTGGGTCAGGAGCATCATGCTCCATATCTAGAGACAATGATCCAATGATAAGTAACCATTTTGTTCCTTAGAGGTAGATAGCCTTTTGAGACTTGCCCTGGGCTATTGTAAGTCTTTATCACTTCTAATTATGGCCTATGTGTAAACATTTCTTCCTTCCGGAGAGATTTAAATGGCCATGCCAGGGCTTCAGTTAAGCATGATTTTATCCAAACAATAACGACCATATATGGCCAAATATCCTCTTCACTAAGGTGATATGTAAATGAATATAGAACGGCAATTTACCAATGAGCCAGCTGGGTCTTTCATTGGAACATCAACAGAAGTAGAGCATTAATTAATATCATACTTAAGAGTTGTGGTTAGATGATCCATTGCATGTTGTTGGAAGAGGAAAAAACCTCCAGTGACAAATGTGTTTTAATAAAATCTGGAAGATATCGTGATGGAAAAGCTTATTTAGTTATAAAACCAAAATTTGAATCATTGGGAAAAATACCTTTCTAGCAGTCAAACGTGAAAACACGGAAAAATTCTAATCTGATTTAGGCCCTGTGGACTTCAGTGTCGTAGGATAGGTGTAAGGTTAGAATTTAATCCAAGTAATTTGCTTTATTATCTAACCAATCTGAATCCTCATTCTTTTCATTTCTTCTTATTACATTCTTCTCTAAATGCTTGTGTCTCAAAACATTTTAATCTTTTTCTGCCATTGTTTTCCTTGCCTGGTTCCATATCTTCTTTGAATATAGAAAACTGAAAGCTACATTATAATGTTGATTCTATGCCAGTTAAAAATTGGATATGCATACTTAGGCTCCTAATTGCAATAGTGTTATAGACAAATAGATAGACTAGGTATCTGAATATTGATTGTGCTTTGAAGATCAGTCCTACCCCTTTCAAAGACATAAGAATATATAGCAACTTTAAGGCAGTCAAGATATATAGATGAACAGTCAATGTTATATCAGCTACTCAAAGTGGGTATAACTGTAATGGGGAAAGATAAGGTAGACATAATCAATGTTATGAGCTTCATTTTAAAATTTCATTGCCTAAAGTTAAGATTACAAACCTGCATTGATGGCTTCATGCTGCCCAGCAATTCTGAGGTGTGCAGAATGGCCCTTAACTCTTATTTAAAAAGAATAGCATTGCATCTTGCATGACTGAACCCTTAAACCCCCAAATTTTCAAAAGTGGGGCTTGAAGTTCCATTCCTAAATCCATAGTTAGGTGCCTAAGTGGCTTGATATGGAATAATTGATCATCCTACAGCTTCTAGACTGAGGCCGCAGTATAGCAAGCACATAATCACATTAACCCTTGTTCAGCAAAACATTTAAGGTGCATCTACACAGCAGCCTTACCTCAAAATAAGTTACACAATTGGCACTATGCCAATTTTTGATATAACAGGTTTGCTCTTAAGACATGGAATAGCTATTTCGGGATACTGCAGATATCCTGAAATAGCTCCACTGTGTAGACGTAGCCTTTGATATGTATTTAAGGTGAAGTATGCTTTCAAGTCCCAAGAAGAGTTTATAAAATGAAGCACGTGATTATGTTTTGTTAGTAAAACACTGGCTGTTGGAAGAGGCTCAACACTTTTGAAAGTCAGAACACTTATGTAGAAGTACTTCTTATGTAGGGCTTGTTTAGGTAGCAATGATTACAAATGTGTATCTTGATGCAATAGCCTTTGGTGAAAGAGCAAAGGGGTACTCTGATATGATACCCTCCATCCTGTGTGTCTGTTGAACACATTTTGTATTGGTGTTTGCTTGATTTTCCTTTTAAAGAGGGCTTGTCCACATCTCCCATGACATGTGTATATTTACAACTGGGGCTTTCAAAAGGGCCAGTGGAGGTTACGAACCAAAATGCCACTGCAATACAATGGGGTGTCCTGCAGATTGGAGGCAGATAGGCAAAGAGGGCAACTATATCAGGGCCTGGAGATTCAAAAGGGAGGGTCTCCCATCCATTGCTGCAGCTTCTGTGGCAGCAGAGGCATTCAGAGCTCCAGACCCTTTAAATTGCTGCTGGGGCCCTAGGTAGCACACTCAGGGCAGCTCTGAGAGCTGGCGGGGCATGGCAGGATCTGGGCAGTGCTGAGGGCTGACTCTCCCTGGCCCTGATCCTTCCAAGCATATGGAGCTGGCTTCCGCCACCTTGCCCACAGGTCCAGCAACTCTGTCAGTTGCACTGGGGTATGTTAGGCCCCTTTGAAAAGTCCAGACTAAGTTTCTTCCTATGGAGTTAGTGTCAAGATTTTCAAAATTGGCTTCCTACACCTAGCCCTGGTCTACACTAGAATGGGCAGGTTGGTTTAAGTTACACCACCCAGCTAAACAAAATGCGTCACTGGATTTGACTTACCTTAAGCTGAGCTGTCACAGCATCTACACACACTCCCGTTGGCTTCCTTTATTCCTCACAGAATGAGGAGTACAGGATGCCACTGGGGGTTGCCCTCAATGTTCGATTTGGGGGTCTACCCTAAATCCACAAAATCGAATGCTAGAAGATCAACCTCTGGAGTGTCAATCTTCTTCATAGTGTAGACATGCCCTTAAATTTCCATTTGCTAACTTAAATGCCTGAGAGTTTGGATATATTTGTTTGAAAATCCTTTTTGTTTGAGATCCTTTTTGTCTAATATTAATTTTTAGTTAATGAACTATAAAAAAAGCCTGTTGATTTGTGTATATGCAAATAATTCATTTTTTTCTGAGTTGGTAATCTAATAGGAAATATAATCTTTACCACTCTTTCTTACAGCCAAGCCAGGCCAGAAAGTATGCTTCTCAACATACTGCAAAATTTTGTGAACTGTATAAATCATCATATACTGACACTGAAAAATAATCCTTGGTCACCAATGTGTTATAGTTCCAAAAATATATTTACAGTCTATTACAAAGATTACAAATGGAAGTGTCTATGTAACAGGATTATGCTAATTAAAAGCTTTTTACAGATTTTCTTCAACAAAGGCAGAGGATGAAAAAAATTGGTATAATCAAACTGATTTTACTAATCAAACAAATAAATAAAATGGCAAATGTAACACTGTAGAGTGATCAGAAAAGGTGTGTGGGGGGAGAGGAATGATCCTTTTGAGATTTCGGCATCTGTCTTTGGTCCTAAATGTGGGAAAACACATTATGTAGCACTGAAAATACATGTTCTTTTGTGATGCTCTGCAAGTAAAATAGAAAAATATAGTGCATTTTCAATGTATTCAGAGCTCACTACACAGAAATGTGTGTACAAAACAAGACAGTATAAATAAAATGTACAAGTTTTACAAAGGAACATTTACAGGGTTTTTTTTGTGGATGCCCACATTATCAAACAAGACCAATTTATGACTGATCCCTGGGATCTTTCTCTATCAAAATCAATAGAAGCAGCCCAATTCTCTTTGGAAGTTCAGCATTTCACTGAAGGGGTAGTTCACAATTTTCATAATTTTTGAAAGCATTTCTTCTGTGATGAATATACATTCCTGCAATAGCTATAGCCACACTTTCTTATTGCTTATGGTAGTTTAACATTTTAGTTAAATAAGGTAGATAGATAAATAAAAATGGCGTAAAGTTATTTAATTGAGCAAGTACTTTTGTGCTCAAGTTCCCAAATGAATGAGTGTGTGTATTGCGTTTGTACTGAGAGAAGTGAAAGCTAATAAAAAAAACCTGCAAAAAGTCTGAACTGCCCCTTGCTTCATGCTCTACAGTTCTTATATAAAAGGTAAACCCTTATTCTCTCAGCTGGCTAGCATTCAACTGAAATGCATTTAAAATATATGCCAGCCATTTCTTTCATATTTGCTAATGCGGAGCATTAAAAAAACATGATGTGCTCAGATTAAAATAGTTAGGTAACATTGGAGAACTGCATCTGACTTCCGAGGCACTGCTATTATCATCCACTCTATGAAATGCCTCAGTAGGTTTACAGTTCTGGAATTACTTTGTAGAAAATCTCACCTTAAATCTAGTCCATTAAAATCATCTTGCAAACAATTTGTTAAAATTGCCTATGACTACTTAGGGGTCATTATTGCTTTTTTTCCTTTTTTTCCTTTAAAAGATAATATATGTTTAACCTTAAAAAATTCTTTAAAAAATATCAGAGCTCTTAGCAACTTGCATTTTCCTGACTCCCTGCCAGTTAGCAAACCATGTCAATACAGTGTTGATTTAACTAAATAAAATGGCACACACACACACACAAAAGGATACCAATGTTTGGACATACATATGTTGCTCAGTTATGCTTCTTACATTTCTAAAACCTCTAGTAACCTTTCCGAGGTACCCAGTGTAGTAATGTGTCATAGAATTAGCCCTAGAAAGGTCCAGAGATATAAACATCATACTAAAAGAACATCTTTATGAAGAATAAACACAAAATGATTAAAAAAAATCTTAAATCAAGATTTAAGGAAAATATTTTGCTGAATTTAACAATATCATGATTTTATCTGACAAATATATTCTTTTTTAAATTCTTTATGTACATTTTAAAAAGTCTATTAGATAAAAAGGAGGTTAGAGAGCTCAAGGTGTTTGTATGTGTTTCAGGTAGTACTTTGTTTTATTGTTACTGCAGTTTTCCTTGCCATCAGTGGTGGATTCCATTTCCCTTTTAGAAACTTCTGGTGGCACTTAGGAGTTCAAGTCTATAGGTGCTTCTAGTAGATCTTCTCTTCATTGCAGGAAGGACCCAGGAGATCAAATGTCTTCTAGCAGCACTTCATGTATACTGAAGGCCAGCACTATTCTCTCAGTCTGTCACCTCCCTCATAAGGGAGAAATTGTCTATCACACTTGGATGCCAGTGCCATGTAAATGTAGCATTTGTGCTCTCATAGTCTGAATGCTGCTCATTATTTTCTTTTGATGACCCACCAACGTGATACCTAAACACATAACATCACTGGGAAAGATAAACGTGGACAGCATTATTTAATGCAGAGTGCGCTTGTCTGGAATAAAGCTGTCATTTAAAACTGAATAGTCCTCGGAGTGCCTATGTTTGAATAGAACAAAACTATTCTAAAGCCTTATATCAATACTGTGAACAGTGCATAAAACACTACTTACTTTTCATCAGAAATGTGCATACTGTACATGTTTCCCTAGTGTTATGCATGAGGCAAAATTACTTTACATCTCACGTGCAAAATGGTAGCTATGAAGAAAACTCAAGTGTAGGAGAACACATACAGTCCGAGATGCTTTCAAGATAAAGTCACTGTATAAAGGAAAAATCACTGTGACACACTGTCCTCTTTAGAGACATGCATGGAGGAATCTTCTGCACACAGTTCTATTCTTCCCATTTGTTAAGTGGAAAGTTGGGTGGAGCTGTCTCCATACACCATCCCCATTACATTCTCACTTGCAGAAGGCTCTCTGGGAAGAGGCTGGAATGGGCAGGATTAAAGGTGAGGGTGATGATTTTCATATAAATTAAAAACATTTGTACTACTCAGGTGGACCAAAAATTTGAATACTGGCCATATTTGGGAAGATGAAAATTCCCCTTTTAGGGGGAGTTCTGAGCTGACCTAGCCAGCTTCCAAGCCTTCCAACTCCTCAGCCCTGTAAGGGAGGAAAAGGCGTTTGTTTGTTCCTGTTTCACTGATGTCCTCCATCAATTTTCAGTTGGCAGAAATGCTCTAGAATGACTGCTACCAGCCAGGTCAGGTTAGCAATGCTTCTGGGCTGCTCTAAACTACACTAATGGTGCAGGACAGAGAATCAGGAAGCCACAAATTGCTCCGTGGACTCACTCTTCTGTGCTGAGTAAAACTTGGGCTAGGGCAGAATCTGGCCTTATGAATTGAGCTTGTACTTGGCCCAGTATTTTGTAGTTTAATATAATTTGTCTTTTACCTAGAAGGTTGCTAAACGTAGGTCAAACATGCCCAGTGCCAACTTACTCAATAGTCATCCTGGCTACTGATTCAAGTGAGTTGTAGCCGGCTGCTGTGAAATTATCCTTATATCTTTCCATCTTAATAGCTTGTAACCATTCTCCTACAGAGCAGAACGTGGTGAAATCGGGAGTGTTCTGGTCCAGAAGAGGGCTAATTGGTCTGGGCAGAAGAAAAGAGTAAAGTAAATTGTTTCCAAAAATAATAAAATATAAGGAAGAATTTGGCAGAGTCAGAAAGGGTGGAGGTATTCACAGTTCCTAAGGAGTGAAAAATAATCGGGTCAAATATGCAGTGTCACTTGATATTTTAATTGCTCTGCATGGCTAGCAAGAGTATTTTGCAGTTTACAAAAACTATCTCCTAAGCATATTGTTAAGCATGACAACAGTTCATTTAAGAATTAAATAAACCTGGTGGGGTACTGGTCTCTACTGGAAAATCAACATTAATCTTTATTATTAATATTACAGTAGCGACAAATAAGATAGGGACCCACTGTCCTGGGCATTGTGCAGACCCCACCCCAAACTGCTTGTGACTCAAATATATAAATGATGAAGGAAACAGAGAAAGATACAGTGACTTTCCTAAGGAGACATACAAGGTCAGTGCCAGAGCTGGGGACTGACTGTCTGTCTCTTAATTCTGGGCATTAGCCACAGAGCCACAAGGAATTTGTGACTGAGTAACTCCTGGGAGCTGGCAAGTTATAAGAACAAAACACTGAGTCAGACCACGACATTACATGAGATTAAATGGTTTAATGGCATTAAAAAAGAGTTGCCATGGTTTAAAAAGACAGAGAGAGAGAGAAAGAGAGAGAGAGAGATATCACTCTGTAGGTCAGTACAAAAAAGTTGACTATATAGACACTGATGATTTCAGCTATTTAAATCTGAAGTAGCATCGTGATGTAGTTACTGGGTTCTTGACACACAAAGGATTTCAGGGAAGGGCGTCGCAAAGTTATTATAGAGGGTATTGCAGTACTGATAACCTTACTCCTGTATTGTTGCTGGTGGTGGCCCTGGTGGTATGGTATTGCCACTCTTACTTCTGCACTGCTGCCCACAGAGCTGGGGCTTCAGTAAGCAGTTGCCACTCTTCTGGCTGCCCAGATCTTAAGGCAGCAGCACAGAAGAAAGGATGGCAATACCTGTAAAATGTACACTTGTACATTGAATCACAGGAGAGATTCAAGTACTGCCCATCTGGGGTGGGTCTACTCAACACCCTTACCTCGAAATAAGCTATGCAATTTGCGCTACACTTATTTCAATGTTATTTCAAAATAAGGCGCTATTCTGAAACAGCCCTTACTCATCATACAATGAGGTTTACAGGGACATTGGAATAGTGAGCTCATTATATTTTGATATAACAGGCTTGCTCTTAAAATGCAGAATAGTTATTTCAGGGTACTCAAAATAGCTCTGCTGTGTAGGCATAGTGCTGATTAGCAGGGCTCCCATAGCTGGTGGTGCACAATTGCACATGCCGCCATGTATATAAATGTTTTATTCTGCACATGGATGGAAAAGAGGGACAACTGATCATTATGACCCTCCCACAACTCCCTTCTGGGACAGAACCTCCAATTTGAGAAATGCTGGTCTCTCCCCATGACATCTATATATCAGAGAGTAAAAACACACAAAAGACCAGATTTCACAGAGGAGTGGGGGGAGGAACAAGATTTTTCAGTCCACGATGCATTTTTTCATGGCTATAAATTTGGTAGGCAGTCTTTTTCTTACTTTGCTTTTGTAAATGTTGATTATTACTGGTGGAAATACTTTGTCATCTGTTTGTGTGTGAGCATGGTGGAATCAAAGTTTCCCAACATTTTACTGTTAAAAATCTAATTCTTCTAAGCTTAACAGTATTATTACTATTATGTATATTGCAGCAGTGCACAGAGGCCAGGACCCCATCATGCAGCCACAGCTATGAGAACGGTCCCCTCCCTGAGGAATTTATAGTCTCAACAGACAAGATAAAGAGTGATAGTTTGCCAACAGGAGTATTAGTGGCAAGATTTCTCTCTCTTTTATTTGGCATTTTTGTTTTAGTTAAGTCATTTTTGGGTGGATTTTATTTTTACTGAATGGCATGTAGGACAGGAATGGGGAAAGGTGGGGAGGGAAGGAACAAAAGGGAAGGAAGGAAAAGAGTGGCCCAGTGAGCAGCTGGAGGGAGCTGGAGCCAGCAGCTAATCAGAACACATCCAGAATCAATATCTGTTCAGAGAATCATAAACCATCACTGACAGTTTTCTTACCTACTGCAAGTTCCCAGAGGGGTTTTCAAACTATTTGGGTTCCGAATCATTTTGTCCAGAATACCAACTATCTGCTCAAACTTTGGCCTTTCACCACGTTCCTTTTGCCAACAGTCCAGCATGAGCTGGTGAAGACCTGCTGGGCAATCCATGGGTGCTGGCAAACGATAGCCTTCTTCAATTGCTTTTATAACCTAATGGCCAGAACAAGAGGATTTCATCAAGGCAGAAAAATTTAGGGAATGAATTTTAATAACTGTGGAAAAAAATCAAGCAACTAAATTAAGCAGTCAAAGCATTATGAAAGTAGAGTCTGTTGTTTTAACACTAGCATTCTTGTTTTCATAAAATACCCTTGATTTTTATCTTCCATGATTATTAAACATATTATTCTATGGTGTGCAGAACATGGTTGCATTACCCAGTCAAATCAGCAGCAGGGAGCAACAATTACATTCACCTAGGGTGCAATAGATAAATGGGTAGATGGAAATATTCTAGAAAGCAATATAATTTGCCCAAAGGCCTTTGAGAGAGAGTATGCAGTAGAAGCACTGAGTTGTAAATGGATATACTTTGTGCATTGGTCTACAAAATCCGAAAAGCCCATAGACTTAAAAAAAAATCAGAAAATATTTAATGGACAGGAATTATCAGGACAAAGCATTTGTATTTTATTCCCATCCATGTTGTTAGAAGTAAACAAGCAAAATATGTCTGAATACAATGTGATATGGAGAAGTGAGGCCTGGCTGAGTGGTATCTTAATGTAACAGTCTAAAGCAAGGTCAGACTTAATATGAGAAGGTGGCACATGGTGATATGAGTGAGGACAATGTCTGAAGCAAAAATTACACACACTGTTAGACTCTCTCAGCCAAGTGCATTTGGATTTAACAGAGATAGAAATGGTTAAAGAAAAATTACTATGGCTTTGAACCTTGTGGGCAGGATAAGAAAGCATGTCAGGAAGCAATGCAGATAAGAAAGGCTTGTAAGAAAGGACTAAAACACTGTTCATGGGAGATTTCAAGCACACTGACATTGACTGACATAACTGTATTAGAATTGCTAAGGAAGGGTGTTGATTCTTGAAGGGCAGTACACAGGACTGTTTTCTCTCAGTTTGCAGAGAAACCAAGATCAGTTCTGCGCTTAACCCTATGAAATAAATCTGCCATGATATGTAAAGGTTGGTGAATAGTCAGGGCTTAGTGAACATAATTACTTCAGATACAAAATACTCCATGGGATGTGTGAGAAAAAGCAAGAGAACTGGGTTGCAGAATGAAAAGCAACTGCAAAGATTGAAGAATGAACTTCAGTAAGTTGGTTGGAATCAATGGTTGTATCAGAATCTTCCAGAGGGGGGGAAAAGTCTCATAAAACTTGGTCTAGTGGAAATGGCCCTCATCTGAGAAGTATTCAATATATTGCTCTGCCACACACTTCCTTTCTGGCACTGTGGAAGTCACCCGCTCTCTGTCTGCTTCTGTAAAATAGTAAGTGGTACTTCCCTACCTCACAAGGGTGTTGTGAGAATAAACACATTAAAACTGAAATGCTCAGCCCCTTGTGTAATGGGATCTACATTAGTGACTAAAGACAGACAGTGATGAAGAATTGTCAGAGATAGTACAAGAGCCACACAAATAACAAGGGGTGGGGGGAATACAAACAAGGAAAATATTTTAAAGAGTAAAATGCAAGATCAATTAAGTAAGGTTCAAAGGGAAACTCCTCACATTTAAAAGCAATAAACAATTCAAAATGAAAAAATAGCACTATTCTGATGTGCTGAAGAATGAATATAGGAATTACAAACACATCTCAAAATCTTTTTTTTTTTAAATCTCATTATAAAAATGCAAGCTTTAGGTAAGGCTTGTAGAGACAATCAGTGAATAAAAATAATGCCTCCAGTATCATTAAAGGGATTTTAAACTGACAAGACACCTAGGAATGATAACATCCATCCAAGAGCTTTAAAGGAAGTGACAAATGAAATGAGAGGCACATTAGTAGGTATTTTTACATGCTCAGTGTGTTCTGGAGAGATCCCAGAAGATAGGAAGTGACTATGATAATGACATTATTTTTAGAAAGCCCTTAGGGATGATGCAGGACCAGTTTCTTTAGCATCTGCTGTGAGTAAACAAGTCTGAAGGATCAGATTGGGCAACAGAAAAGAATAGATCTGGCTACAGCCAAGAACGTGGGATTTGGGAAGAGTGACTTCCAAAAGATTAAACATGCTGTCTGTTCATATTCAAGATTCATGGAACCAAACTGAAGGTTAATAGCTAAAATTTTTAGCACCTTTGATACTTTTAAAATATTACTAATATCTAAGGGAGAAAAGAGCAGTTCTAAACTAGATAACAAGTGGTAAATAAAATAAATGAAGGGATTCTCCCCCCTATAAACTGTAGGATTACAGTTTATAGAAAAAATGAAGCTGATTGAATACAGCAAGGATTCATGCTAGTAGCACAGTTTTGTATCACTTACATTTGGCTCAATTATCTCTTCTTCCATTTCTGTGGTTTGCCCAGAAATGGAGAGGCCATTATTTCTTTTAGATACCTTTGTTGTTTCCTAAATTCCCGAGGCCTTGCCTATTCCTAACGTAAGTTAGAGCAGCTCTGGATCTGTTCCAGTGCATGCGCTGGCTGTAGATAAAGAGCTACTAGCTCTGGGGACAGACCTGTGTTAATTGGGTACTGCGATGCTTTGTTTGCTGTATCAGGTCACTGCCAGTGACACTCCTTTGTTAAAAATGCCACACCAGTAACTGAAGGAAAAACATCCATTTGCAGGGCTACGTCCTGTCCTGTGTGAAACACAAACATCGAGAAAAGGAAGTGTAGTGAACTCCTCCTTTCACATAAGTACAGGGACCTTATGGACACACACACAAAAGCTCTAATAGTTACCAGAGAAGTAGTTGAGCTAGTTAGTGACTGTTTGCCAGTTTTGGCAGCAAGTGTTAGGAACGCATGGACACTTGCACCTACAGAAAAGGCAATAAGCAAGGTTCTGTGTCACTCACCCTGAGCCATCCTGCTCTGCAACTGCAGGATTGCTCTTGGGTTTAATGTTCAGCTAATTCTCATCAGCTCTGTATGGATGTTTCTGGAGAAGTAGTTGAGCTAGTTAGTGACTGTTTGCCAGTTTTGGCAGCAAGTGTTAGGAACGCATGGACACTTGCACCTACAGAAAAGGCAATAAGCAAGGTTCTGTGTCACTCACCCTGAGCCATCCTGCTCTGCAACTGCAGGATTGCTCTTGGGTTTAATGTTCAGCTAATTCTCATCAGCTCTGTATGGATGTTTCTGACACAGTCACAATGGTATCACTATGCTCACATCTATCTGAAGGCACTTGAAAGGTTACTATAGGATAAAATAGTATAGTAGAAGATTAAAAAAAAAAAACCCACGCTTCAAACTCAGCAAACTCAATGAGGCAATTACAGCATGGCCTTCATCCACATTCAGTTGTAAGCAAAAAATGATGCATTTAAATTTACAGACCGCTGACAGTGCCTCCGAGTCTGGTAGAGACACATTTAAGTGTTGTCACTTGTGTCTCCAATTAATTGCAACAAATTCATTGTGGATAATTAGAGGCAGTTTTTAAATTTTGCGATGGGTCAGTCTCCAGGGTTAGTTTGTGTGTGTGAGCATGCGTGTGTTCATTCTAGGGCACACCTGCATATCACAATACACATGAATGTTTGAAATTATTTAGCAGGAATTTATAAATCCTTAATCTATATGCTAATTGGATATTACTTGTAGTTTTATTTCTTTTGTCATAATAAGGATTTGAGATTAGTGTTTTTATGAACAAGGATAATTTACATGATTCTCTCAGCTGTTTACAACACAAGAAGATAAATTAAAAACATTTCCAAAATTAAGCAAGGGGATATTGGATTTTTTTTTCAGTTTCAATGTTTTCCTTTATTCTTCCCTGAAAGATAGGTAAGCTTTCCCTTAGAGGCATCTTATATTCCTGTCAGACCCCTTTTATGTTTGACTTGAGTACAGAAGGAAGGTGTCAAAAGAAATGAAACTCTACTGGGCATCAAGAGAATGTAAAATATTTCTCTTTCTTTGCCCCAAGGACTTGTTTGCCCATATTTTGACAGTCCATGAAATCTTTGACACTGAGACCTGTCAAATATTAACAGCTTTGCACTCTGCCAACCTGACTCATCATTTACACTTTTATATTCTTTTCATTTAAAACTCTGATGTTGAACTTTCGATTACAAAAAAAGAACTCAAAATGAGACTCTTTCTGGTATGTATTTATGTGTGTAGTTCATAGGAACAAATATCCTTGGAAGAAATTCAGGATTAATACTATTCTATGCTATTACTGATGACTTGCTGCTTTAGGTCATATTTTATGCAAACAAGAATATTTCAAAAATATAGTGACATTGATAGAGAGTGTCACTATCTGCTGCTTTTGACTTTGTATAACTTTTTCATTTGACTAACCATAATTATGAATTCAAGAAACTAAGATTTCTTATTTGACTGAAAACTTGTCATTCTTACAAAACATTATATAATAAAAAAAATGTTTTTTTTGGTTATATTATTTTGAAGCCCCCAACCTGTTTGATAATCATGATATAACCTTAAAACCTATGCTTGTGTCAAAGAAGTTTTAGTGTTGTTGGCTAAATAATCCTCTATTTAATTTTTCACTTTATAAAACTCCAGGAATATTTTTACAAAAATTATTCCACGTTAAAGCAAAATTACGTGTGGAAACAAAAACATTGATATGAACATTTATTTATATATATATATGCACATGCATACAATCATGCAAATAAAGCATCTGTATAGCTTACATCTTGATTTGACATGTCCCAATAAGGCCGCTCTCCATAAGACATTACTTCCCACATAACTATTCCATAACTCCATACGTCACTTGCTGATGTAAATTTGCGATACTGAATAGCTTCTGGAGCAGTCCATCGTACTGGAATTTTCCCACCCTATTGAAAAAAATTGTTTACAAATAATATTTCCATAATGGTTTTTTTAGTAGCATTTTACAATTATTTCCATTATTTGTAGCACAAAAATGATGCAATTTTCAACTGTTGACCAATGTTGGAATTTTCAGAGGAGTTTAAACATAATCTGATTCTCAAGGAACTAGGTGTTCAAATCCCACGGAAAAACCTTAAGGCTCCTTTGAAATCCACATCTGATCACATAGGGCCAGATTGTCATTAGTCGTAATGTGGAATAAATGCTAACATTAGTCCCCTGTGCATTCCCTCTGGATTGTTATTCCACTGACAGACCAGGCTGCATGAGGCATCTACTGTCTACACTGTAAACGAGGCAGATGCAGGTAGAGAGGATGGGAAGGGGAGTAGGCTGGGGAAAAGAGCAGAGGAGTAACCCGTGCCCTATGAACAGCTATGGCAAAATAATCCCACCCAGGAATAAGGGAAGATCTAGGAGAGTAATTGTTACCCCTCATGTAAGAATAGCAGCAATGTTTCAGTCATGTCTTACATTAGTTAGCTTTCAAGCGAGATTAATTCCACTCTGAAAAAGTAGTAGCCCTGGATTTCCGTGTAAATCCTTTGAGTGAGCTCAAAAAGGAGTTACACATTTTATAAATCAATCATCCGTATTTATTCATTCACGGAAAAAAATATGACACACTAAAACCAGCAAAGACTTGCAAGAATTCTCCCCACTAGGTGATAGTTATTAGACATTTAGGCTGTGTCTACACTGGCCCCTTCTTCGGAATAGCCATGCTAATTTAGAACTTTGGAATAGGGAAATTTGCGGGGGAATTGAATATCCCCCGGGGGATTTAAATAAACATGGCCGCCGCTTTTTTTCCAGCTTGGGGAAAAGCCGGAAAAGAGCGTCCAGACTGGCGTGATCCTCCGGAATAAAGCCCTATTCCGGAGGATCTCTTATTTCTACTTGAAAGTAGGAATAAAGCCCTATTCCGGAGGGCCAGTCTGGACGCTCTTTTCCGGCTTTTCCCCAAGCCGGAAAAAAAGCGGTGGCCATGTTTATTTAAATCCCACGGGGGATATTTAAATCCCCCGCGCATTTCCCTATTCCAAAGTTCTAAATTAGCATGGCTATTCCTGAAGAAGGGGCCTGTGTAGACGTAGCCTTACTGAAATTATTTTAAACCAGATTCCTGAAGATGACTTGTGCCACTCTTGGACTACTAAACAGCTTCCAGCCATTAATGTATTTCCCTTAACTGTGTTTTCAAGATGCTATTGCCTGGTTGTAGTAAGATCTCCTATCCACTGAGAAATAGTGTCAAATGTCTATGTTTCTTACTGTAGTGGTGTAGACAGCTTCTGGATCATCTTCTATAACTCTAGACAGGCCAAAGTCTGACACTTTACAAACAAGGTTGCTGTTGACAAGAATATTGCGTGCTGCTAGGTCCCTGTGTACATATCCCATATCAGCCAAATATCTCATTCCGGCAGCAATTCCTCTCAACATTCCCACTAGCTGAATGACTGTAAATTGCCCATCATGTTTCTGAAGGGAAGACAGGAGCAACACACTTGTTAATGAAGTTGAGGGAGTAAAAGAAAATCAGATTTGCACACTTTCTTCACTCTAGTTACTTATTATCCCAAAGGCAATGCATCATGGGACAAAGCTACATATTTTAAACAAAATTATTTTAACCACAAAGCAGGATACAAGGTTGAAAAAGGCCTGAATAGCCAAACTTTTAAAATTAATGGAACTTGTTAAAAGTTACAAAATTCTAATTAACTTGTGACACTACAAGTTTAAAAAAAATCCAAAAACTTCATATAGCATTGTTTGTAGCTTGCCCCTATATTTTATGTTTTTCATTTTTTACACTGATCAATAGATATAAAAAAGAAACTGTATAACACTTTTGGGACCAAGACCTCTGTTTATTGTAAACAATGAAGGTTTATTTACAGCATATAATTTATCAAGGAAACATAATCTTTCTGTTTTCTCTACAGTCTTGCAAGTTGTTCTGCATTTTCTGGCTTGTATACATGGAATGCTAAAATGGTAAAGACATTGCTTGGCAGTTCTGAGCACTCAGCAAATTCTAAATTGTTATAAAATATTTTTTTTCTTTTTCCTCCATTCTTTTCTGAGGTACTACTGTACTTTTAAGAATTACTGTGCAGTGACGTCAATCATGCTAAAAATAATAACTGCTATTCTAAACAGCCATGTTTTCACATGTCAGGGCTTCAGCTATCGTGGTATTAACCTCCATCTACGACAGTAATCAAAACCACGATTTCTGCACCACATTGAATCACTTAAATGCCAAGGAATGTATCAGTTTAATCCCATCTGGTCTTCTAATTCCTAATCTGATTCTGGTGGGACAATTTAAAGATCTATTGGTGTCAACCATGTTCACATTTCAGACTGAGCAAAAGTTTTACTATGCTAAATTGGTAAAACATATTGTATTTTGAAGCACGGCACATATTTCCCCTTAGGTACTCACCCTAAGAAAGGCATCGAGGGCCCCATTCTCCATGTATTCTATTACAATCATGACTGGTTTCCCTAAAAGAAAAGAAGGGACATTTTGTTTGAGAAACTATGAACTGAACTGAGTGCCTTTTTTCTGACAAAACATGTTGTTCCTATGAAAGGGCTGAATAGTTGTGACATAAATAAACTTGAAGTCTCCAGCACTGTTACTGAGCTCTAAATCCTGAAATGTCTGCATGGAGCATGGTCATGATTCGCAAAATTAAACGGTACAAATCAAAATGTCAGTGTGTCCTCCTGACTCCTGCTGTGTGACTCGGACTGGGAGAAAATGACACTTCAGATAATAGGAAAGGACATAAGAAACCTTATCTTTTGGCATGGTCTTTTAGGATAACTGAAACTAGAAAATAGTGTATTTCAAAGCACTTGATCTTTTAATCAAGTGTGCATCTTAATTTTTTCCTCAGGTTGCAGCATAAAGTGAGTATTGTTTTAGTTAGTTACGCCTCAGGACAAAATCCATTAAAAGTATGCATTTCTAATTTGCATCTCTGACCAGGGATAAATTACAGCAATTTCTATCAGTTACTTTATTGCCTGAATGAGGCATCTAGCCACTTCTTACCTCTGGTAACAACCCCTTCTAAATGAACAACATTGGGATGGTCAAATTGTCCCATGATGCTTGCTTCACACAGGAAATCTCTCCTTTGTTTTTCTGTATAACCAACTTTCAGGGTTTTTATGGCTACTGAAACATCTCGCTTGCCTGGAAGTTTCAGACGTCCACTGCACACTTCACCAAACTCTCCTAAAATAAAGCAGATTGACTATAAATGACACTTCAGATATAGAATATACACATATAATATACTCGCTGGGGCCCTGGTTCAACATGGTACATAAGTACATGCCTAAATTTAATCCCATGAATAGTCACATGGATTTTGACTGGACTACTTAAGAGCTTAAAGTTAGGTATATGTATATGTTCTTTAATGAATCAGGACCCAACCAACAAACACTTTTATGTCAGCCTCCACCTACCCCTAATATTTATGTCTTTACAAAACTATTTTATTTTACTGTACATTTAATTAAAGAATACTGATATTTTACAAAGGATGTTGGATTTCCCTGATTTTTTTTAGGCCTGATTTTTAACTCATACTTGTTTTTGGCTTGCTTTATACTGGTGTGAGGTCAGAATCAGACAGTAAACAATTGTCAAAAACAGAATAATCACATTGAGGTTTATGAAATGCATGATATTAATTTAATTGTTCAATGAACTGGGTAAATTTTCTCTCCCATGCCCCAACATCAAAACCATCCTAATGAAAGTTTCATAGAAACTAAAATGCTTTGATTAAATTATGGGAATGTCTATATGTTCCAAACAGCTCTTCCAACCCTGCACAACAGAGAGACAAACTCACATCGTAAAACAGCATAGGCTGGCAAAGTCCAAATGCATTCACAAACATTGCTTGTCCACTCATTCTGATTGCTAAAGTTGGCCATCTGGCATAGGCATTCAAGGCTATGCCCATAGATGCTCCCAAAAGGTACTCACAGCCGAGCATCTACTGGCTCAGCATATTATCAGGGAAATGGGTAGAAATAAAAGGCTGTAATGTAGAACAAAGACTCAGCACAATGGCACCAACCCCAGCGTATAACAGGTGGCCTCAGCAGAATGGAAATGACAAAGTTAGCAAGAAAAATCACATCATCCTTGTGAAAAAAATGAAACACAGGCTCACACCCCAACATATCCAAGACAGGCTCAGTATCCCTTTCCACCATAATAACTGAGGCACACATTGAGAATTCTATGCTGCTTTTTTCTGACTGTCCCTAGCAGACATTTCATATTCTTCTTTGGTCTGTAGTACAGCAGTTCCATTTTGTCTCTCTCTGCCTGCTGTAAGCACAGTATACTGTCCCTTCCATTCTTACTAGCCAATCTTAATCCATTTATTTGGAGCGTAGCTAAACCCAGCAAAAATGACACTTGCACTTTACAACTCTGCTTCCAACTTACATGCTCCAGTTTTGCATACTGAAAACAAACTGATCTTGCACATGTGTCTATTTCAGCCTTAAATTCTACCACATTTACATGTGATGTTTTTCAGGGTTTTACTCAAAGTGACTTGACAAATAGTATTTCAGTCTAATCAAAAGAGAAGCACATGCGCCTTTTACTCTAAACTGTTGATATGGTAGTCTCTCAACTCAACAATTCATTAGCAAATCAAGAGAGACCCAATTTTACTGATTTTACTGTGCCAATCCAGAACTGAAAACATAAAGAGAAATGCTGTACTGAAAGAGAGATTTTTTTGTTCCAGTATCAGCCTAAATGTTGCTTAGTTAGGCAAGACTAATGAAGTGCTGTCTTGGCACAGCAGCATATAAATCCACCCCCGTGAGTGGCAATAGCTATGCTGGCTGGAGAAGCCCTCCCACTGACCTAGGGCTGACCATATAGGCGCTTAGGTCAATGTAACTTTCGGCACATGGGTTAGTTACCTCATTCACCTACCAGAGTGAGCTAGGTTATACAAAAGTAAATGGTAGTGTAGACCTGACCTAACAACCTGAGACTGGGTTGATGCCTTTACTCATTCTGAGTAGCAGCATACAGCAAAAAGTTGTACTAATTTAAAAAGGGCTACACTTGAAGTAAGGTAACATTCATAATGAGTAAGGGCCTTTAAAATAAGCAACATGATTCTGAGAGTAGAACATTAGCTAATTCTAAGCGCTGCCATTTATTTTTATAACCTAAAACTAAATATTTGTAGAGATTTTTTTAAAATATACATAATTTACAGTGCTTGACAAACCACAGTAGGGTGATTTATAAAGTATCCTAACAATACTTGATAAAAAAGAACAGGAAGGCAAAGGAATGTTTCCTCCAGGAATCCAAAATATTTGATATTTTTCTTACCCATGGAAACTTAATTTCACAACATGGCCCAATGCAATAAAAATGTCACATATCTCGTTAATGCAAACAAACGAAACTGCTTTTTTAGAGTATGAATACCACACTGCTTAAGTAGGTGGTAGAGAGTTCAAGAAGAAGAAAAGTATTGTAATGCCAGTACAATTATAATCTAGCACGAGAGGTAAAACAAGAATATTTTTGTACCAATAATATATATATATATTTAAAAAAGCAGAATGACAACAAAAAGTTTTAAAGGAGAATTCTTTTCTATTAATATACAAGACCTCACTAGACTATATATTACAGGCTGTGTCCTCTTTTCTGAATGCCCAGAAGTCAAGGGAACTACTTCTGTGATTAATTAAGCAGTATTTACACTTAACATCAAACCTCTTTACTTCAACAATGAGCAACAGGTAACAACATTACAGTACTGTTTTTCAAGAATGTTTGCAACTTTTTAAAATGGTTCTGGAATTAGAAGCATGCAAGCTTTTAATGCCACACAAGTCTCTTTTTTAATATTTATTTTTCACATTTTACAAGGAAGCATAAGCTTCATTGCTCTATCTTCTCTGGTAAATGCAAAAAAGTTCTATACTTGAAGTATAATTATTTGCCTGTCATTATGATGTATGAGTTTTGATCCCAGCTAAATGGAACAGTAGAATTCAGAAGCCACAAGCAGCCTTACCTGCTCCAATCACACGCTCAATTTTAATACAAGAGGCATCCAGCTCCTTGGCAAATTGATGGACAGCTCTATTTGGGTCTTCGTAGGTTTCAGGGTCAATGTAGGTTTTGGTGCCTGGAAATTTAACTGTAATGATGTAAGAAAGCATGACTGTGATGAAGCAAAGCACTTATTGTGCAGTCAGCCCAGGAATTTCATTATGCAGAATGCTCCGTGGAACACAGGACCTGTTTCCTTACCATCTGTATCAAAGCAGCTTTAAGAGGCAACGTTAGTCTGAAGCATCATCAGTAAGTTTCCTTACACAAGTGTATAAACATTTACCATAAGAAACTATATCTCTCTAGAAGTGTAAAGTCTTTTATGAAAGCCATGAATATTCAAGTAGTTCTCAATGGGTGATATGTAATCAGGGATTAAAATAAGAGAGAACAGGGAGGAATATAAGAACATAAGACCGGCCATACTGGGTCATACTAAAGGTCCAGTCTACCAACAGTGGCCAATGCCAGATGCCCCAGAGGGAGGGAACACAACAGGTAACCATCACATAATCCCTCTCCTGCCATCCATTTCCAGACCAACAGAGGCTAAAAACACCATTCCCATCTAACGTCCATCAATAGCCATTGATGGACCCTAACCTCTATGAATTTATCTAGCTCTTTTTTGAACCCTGTTAAAATCCTAGTCTTCACATCCTCTGGCAATGAGTTTCACAGGTTGACTGTGTGCTGCATGAAGGAAAACTTTCTTTTGTTTCTTTTAAACCTGCTATCTATTAATTTCATCTGGTGACCCCTAGTTCTTATATTATGTGAACAAGTAAATAACTTTTCCCACACCAGTTTATGATTACAGAAACTAACCATAATTTCATAGCCACATCAGAATGCTGCCTATATTCCTGAATTGATGTGCAGGGAAACATTAGGAAAGTCCTTACTTTCTGTGGGCTATCCACCTCAGTGGAAGAAGTACAGAATGAGTGAGTCTAATTCTGTGAAATACTCCCCTTCCTGAACAAGAGAGTAAGTGGCCTCTCCCTATGCACCAACTATCCCAGTTGAGGAAGTGGAGTACACCAGTTATATGGCTGATGCAGTTTGCTTCCTTCCTGGATCAGAGTAGGAAACTAAGGGACCAACACCATTACATGTCACCTTATGTTTGAGACTTGTGGTAAAGCCAAAGTAAGTCTGAATGTCCATACTGAATAGCTGTTAAGCAAATTATTGTTATTGAAGATATTTGGATCCTAAACATTACAATCAGGTGTTGCAAATCCACCTATTTAAGATGATATAATAAATGTTATCTATATGAAATTAAGGAAGAATGTTCTTCAAAAAATTGCTGAATTGTTGAGGTGTAGGAATTGGATCAGAAGTAAATATAAAAGTCAAGATAATTTAAGGGTGCTATACAACCTCTTCATTATTTGTAAATCTATTGTGTATTTTGAAATGTAAATAACAATAGCTCAGTTAGTAGTATGTGTTTGTTTCAAATAAAATCATTAAAATCACATACTGGGAAAAATGATTAAAATCATTAAAATCACATACTGGGAAAAAAACTAGAGAGAGTCAGTTTGAAGAGCCAAAAGAATACACCAAATTGCAGTAGAAATTATTTAAGATTTCACCTATAAGTTAATTTTAGATATAGGCTATATTTTAATAGATTTATTTCTAATCATAATGACAATGTTTCCCATTTCTGAGCAGATAAACAGTTATTTGTTATTTAAATGAACAAGAAGATCAGAGAAAGAAAGAAGAAAACAATAGGTTAAACTCATATATTGTGCTTTCAGGCAGGCAGATGGAGAATGAGCCATCCTCTTGTGTCTGTGATAAGGGCCTGGATTGGAGGTAACCTTGTGAATCTCAAATGGGGCTCTGATGGTTCTTTATTCAAGCTGTCATAAAACATTTTGACAGGCCAAAGCTATCTTGGCATACCAACGTGAAATAGTGCTGGCGTGGATTCGAACACATTGTTAGAAGAAAATGGTAGGAGGAAAGAAAATGTAAATTGGAATTGCTTGACAAAACTCCTCCATTGTGCTTATATCTTTAAATGTAGCACTTGGGGCCATGGAAAGTTGAGGGGAATTGAAATAAAAGATTGGACATTCTATTAAATGCCATGCTCTAAAAGCTAGTTAAATGGTTGCTTTCAAGTCACTGTGAAAATTGAATCTGTGTCTTAGCACATAAGAAAATTGTCTGGATGCTAAAGGAACAAAAGGACACCAAATTGTAAATAGCTGGTGACCACAGTGTTGTATTTCATATAACTGGGGATAAAGTTGTAAAATCATATTATATACCAAACTTCCCATCAAAAACATTAAAAAGTAGCTTGGTAAAAGAGTAATTTATAATATTTCATGCTACAGTATAAATAAAGGTAATGTAGGTTTACTGTTCTGACAGATTTTTCAGTTACTGGAGAACTAGATTTAAAGAAAGAAAGGAAGAAAGAGACTTTCCTGGCCAGCTGCTGAATATTAAGCACGAGCTTCCCTTATAAACCTATTTAATCTCAACATGATCATTCATAATTTATATTGGGGAAAGGAATTTTCTAGCTGGCATATTCACTTTGTCTTCATAGGCAAATAAAAGAAAATGCAATTGATTTCTTTCCAACTAGATAACAAAAAGAAGTGGATCTTTTGGAGATGTATAAAACCTATATTGTAAATGAAAAGAGGCAATTTTCAAATCTGTCACCCTCCAGAGTAGCTGCATTTAAACAGCAGCAGATTTCTGATGCATTTTTTTAAAAATAAGATAGAGTGCAGACTGTGTGATAATTAATCCTTTTCCCATTTCTGTTTTTCACTTCTTATGTACAATATAATAGGTAGTCTAAGTCTGTAATGATGTCACCATTCAATTTAATACACTCTGCACATAAATGAAATGACTTAAGGTAGTGATACATCCAAAACTTAAGAGTCCTGGCTGATCTAATTTTGTTAGGCTAAAAAGGTCAGACGGAAATCTTGAAACAACTTTGACATGAGTCTTGGCTAGCTTTACTAATTTAAAGAGTTCTGCATTAAGGAGATGCTAAAAAGTAAGCTATAAATGCATAATCCACTATATGATATCAGACTCTGATAAACTACCAACACAATAATTTTAACACAAAGCAATACAAGATTAAAAATTAATTTTTATAAGCTGTCATTTGTAAGAATTAACCTATGGCTTTAGTTAGCGCTGAAGATAATTGGTGGCACGGTAAGAATCAAAAGCGTGCTCTATTAATATTTAAATTATAATGTATGAGAAGGTGCTGGCATAGTCGACAATTTGTTTGCCATTGCAAGTTACAAATTTGAGCTGGGTAAGAAATTGTTTTCCTAAATTGTAACAAAAAGGCAAAATTGTAATTAAAAATTATGAATGGAAAATAATAAAAGACAGCTTTTTTTCAGTTGTAACATTTTGTTTCAATTTTGATCATTATTTAGATGTCGAATTTATTTCTACTACATTTAGGTTATTTTAAAAAATTAAATTGACTCCTACACTGGAATTTTTTTTAAAAACTAGAAAATGTTGAAACAAAGCATTTGGAAAATGTCTACACTTTTTCAGATTTTTTTTAGTTGAGAAATTATTAGAAACAACTATGAAAAGCTTTGGTTTTGATAAACTGGTATTTTCTGATGGAAATGTTTTTTAATTGAAAGATTCCTGAAGCCGCTACTGAAAAGCAATTATGCTTGGAGCATTTTTGAGTGCTAATTTTGCAACTATGTAAGTAACTCACTTTAGAAGTTGGGAATGACAGATGATCCTTCTTTTCACATTATTTTATTTCTTATGAATATATTATCTACACAGTGATAATATATTGTCAGTGATGCAAAAGTTCACAGTAGCAAAAACAGTTTTTGACCAGAATTGTTGGGGTGAAAAAGTGACCTTTACTTTCTTAATCAGAAGCTTGCCTTAGGGAATGCTCTTACAGCCCCTTGGCCAAGGACCTATCATTACAGCATCTCCAGGGGGATCATTAAGATTGTGTGAAACAATTATTCAAAAGAAAAATAGAAGTGGGAACAACAGTATATCACACAAATGTACAGAAATAAAATGTATGGCATGAACAATGTTGATTTTAATGTCTCCTTTTTTGTGTAGGTCATTATATTTTTATGGTTTTTAACTTCACACTTGCTGTTTACACAGTATTTCAGATTTATTATAGTCCGTTCTTTATAGGAATGTTGTTTTGGTATTGTCTATATTCCAATACTGCCAGTCTAAATGCCTTATAATTGGACTAGGAATTCCTGAGAGTAGGGGGGAAAAAGCAAAACACTTACAATGAAAGTAAAGTTCTTCATCCCCTTCTTGATCAGCTTTGCTATAGCCACAGTGCCTGAAAAATATAAAATAAAATAGGTCAGTTTGACAGGAAAATAATGATTTACTTCCTCATATTTAAAGGTCGACCAGACTGGAATTTTGGAAGTTAGCAGCCTAACTCCAGAAGGCATTTTAAAACTATCCCAGCAGTAATTCTTTCAACAACAGAGTTGAAAACAAAACATGAACAGTTCTAAATAAAAGGCTTTTGTATCTAATAATTGCTGGGAAGGGTCCTAAAGGCTTAACAAACAAAATTGCAGTCCTAATTAGAAACTTTCTGTGATGCTCTGAGCAAACTAGCCTTAAGATTAAAGAGTCTGAAAAAGGAGTGGCAAGGCTGGTATTTTTGACAGGATGTTTCACTTAAATTTACTTCTCTGCCTCTTGTCTCCAAATCCAAGTGCTATTTGAATGGCTGAATAGGTAAAATGTCAAGCTTCTCCACATGTGAACAATTCAACAGAACTGTAAAGAGACTAGAGAAGCTGCAAATATTTAGAATACACCCAGTATAAGACAAAAAAATAATTTCTTAAGCTAATAGAGTCCTTCTAAATGTAAAATGAGTGGGCTAATTTGTCACCCTAGAATGGAATTTAAATCTAAATTGTCCATATTAGATTATGCATTGCTTTTGTTTCCATTTACAGATTCTAAGATAGAAGCTGGGATAATTCCAAGGAATCTACAACACTGAGGCCAGAAATGCCTACAGTACCTTCGTCCAATGATGAATCCGAACACCATGAAGACCAGTATGATGGTGCCTGCCACAGCAACCACAGCTATGATAATGACAGGATTCTGCTCGCTAGAAACCGCTGTGGCTACAAACAGAGCAAAGTGCTACAGATTAACTTGAATGTATATTGTATAAAGGAACTGCAAAAGGTTAAATAAACCCTCATAAATCACAGACAAATAGTTTACCTCTTCTGTAACCTGAAACTTTGGGCAGACATTAAATGTTAATGATAATGTTTGTCTAAAGAAAGGCATCTATCCTAAGTTCACCAGAAATTGTAGGTGAGTTAATGAGTATCTACGGAGCCTTATGAGTAAGACTGTTTTACTTGAAAGCACACAATAACTATTTCCTGGATTGTACCCAACCTAAAGGAGTCCCATGTGCACGAACTTCTGAATCGTGTTTTTGTTCCTTGCTGATCATTTTCATGACTATCATTATTGTCACTATTATTTAACATTTGCTTCCAGATGCACCACCATGCTAAGTGTTTTCCAAATGTAAGAGAAAGCACAGTCCTTGCTTCAAAGGATTTACCTTCCAAGAAATCTACACATAATTCCATTTGTTTGTACTCAGTGACTCTGCTAAAGTATAGGCCTTTACATGCAGGCCTGAATATATATATATATATATATATATATATATATATATAATAGTAATGTAAAGGGAGGATATAAATACGCTGCTTGGGGGACCTTTATGTTTGAAAAATATATATAGCTAGCTCATCAGATACTGTTCAGATGTTCAGAAAGGATAAACCAAGAAAGCTCCACTGAAGTCAATGGAGCTGGCTGGTTTACCCCACTGAGGTTATGGCCCATAAAGGTTAGGATGAAGAAACAGACATCAGGCAGTGTTATTGAAAAAACATTTTAGAAGCAAGTCATTTGGAGGCAGTGGAAGAATCAAAGCAAGAATGTGTGGCAATGACTCATTAAATAAACCTGAGGTGGTACTTTAATATGATTAAGACTTGTGCTGTTAAATAAATAAGAATGGCTGGAGCAAGGGTCATGTGAATTCCACAGGTCTCGGGACATGGCCTCAAAATCAGATTCCTGTTCCACAATTCATAGGGTCCCCGAGAAACAAAACCCACCAATTTCTTTGCTGTTTTGCAGTAGGCAAGCCAATCACCATGATTCTTCTGCTTCTTCAAGTGAGCAATACCAGTTGCTTTTAAAAGGAGATGCAAGAATCCACTCAATATGCAGTTATGGAATAAACTGCCAATAAAGGAACTTTCTTCCTAACTTATTTAAGTTTGAAGAATATTTATTCCCTGTAACAGGAGAATCCAACTCCCCTTTCTGAACTGTATTTTTCAAACTTCCTAGCTGATATAATGGTGTAAAGATCTAATTCATATAAATGACTGCTCTTTAAGCTGGAGCACATGAAACATCTGCTGCACAATGAGGAACTTTTAAAGAAAGGCAATTGGTCCTCATGGTGAGAGCACTGCTTTGGAATTCTGTTAACCTGGGTTCTCTTCCTGGCTCTACAACTGCCCCATTGGTTGAGTCTTAGCAAGTCACTTTTGGTCAGTGGGCTTCACTATTCCCATCTGGAAAATGAGAATGATGACACTAACCTCATTTGGAAAGCAGTACTGGCAAAAAGGCCTCAGTATGGACAAGGTGTTATTAAAGGTGGTCATGGATAACTATGATTCGGATTAGCTTTGACTAGCCAAAGAGTTTAATAGCTATACAGATATCTGACGAGCTTCTCTTCTTCTGGACAATGGGAATATATGGAGATGGACTCAAAAGTCTAACCAATAATTATGAAGTCATTATATATGTGAGACACTCCCTGATATGAAGTGGGTAGCATTTCCTATCAAAGCCCCATAATTTTTAAAATGTTAATTTTAGACCAAATAGATCTCACTTGGCATGTGTGTGAAGTAATTAACTCATTCCAAACTAGATTTGTATGCTTAGAGGAATAATTGATTCTGATTCCAGATTAGCATGTGCATACCCGCACACGCACACACACATACATATTCACACAAAGCAGAATCATGTGTAAGAAGGGTTTCAAGCAGGTTTCCCACAAAAATATTTTTTGACACTCAAGTCCTCCAGTGTATACATGCCCATCTAAAAAAAGATATTTCTATCTAATGCTCTGTCTGTGGTGAAGGATCCCTCAAACAGTGGGTCGTCTGATAAAATCAGGAAGGGTTTTAGTTCTACTTTACAGATGTTTGCACACGTTCACAAATATTTTGTTTTTCCCTCCTCAAAATGTTATTAAAAATATCAATATATCCTGTTTAAAAATTTTTCAACCAGCTTGCTACATACTTCTATTTGAATTCAAGAATACAATTCAGGAGCACAACGTATTTCATAAACTTACTGGAATAAATAGTGTGCATGAACCTCTTCAGAACCAATGGATGCAAATGATTTAACCCATCTTTCAAATAAATCCAACTAATCATAAAACAAAATGATCATTTGAGGGACATCATTTGGATTTAAAACACTCCCTAGGCGACTTTTGTCTCTATAAATCAAGGAATGAATTACAATGATTCATATACTTTGATCTCTGACATACAGAATACACATCTTACTATATAAAAAGTCTTCCACTGCCAATAATCTTAAAGTCCTTTTATATAACTGTATACATCACAAAAAAAGTGTGTGTTTATATAGATGGTCACTTTTTCCTAATACTGAACTGCTATCTTCTGGAGATGAAGATAATATCTGTTTTGATGAGTACAGTACCAATACTCATGTGACTTTGGGATATAAAGTAAAAACATTTCAAACTCAATGGAAAATTTAGGTGGGCAAAATATATGTATTCGTCTGAATTTGGATGCTGAATGCCCATCTATTACCACCACGATTTTAATGTCACAATGTTATTATGAGATTTGATCTTTTTGGTTGGTTCCAAAAACTAGATCTAGAAATCATATGGGAGAAGGAATCATCAGCAGTAGAGTGGGTAGGGTGACCAGATATCAAGTGTGAAAAATCAGGGACACTTTTTTGGGGGGAAGCATGTATAATTGTCTATATAGGAAATACTGGGACGTCCTGACAATGGTCCATCCACAATATTACAGACCACTGGTGTGCTTCTCTCTGATGGGAGTGAATCACATACAACATTATCTACTCAGCTCTCTGAGGCATTGTGAATTTTCTTGAGAGGTGTCCCTTCTAAATGTTCCCCAAACTTCAATTAAATTAAATTATTAATTAAAGTCACAGGCTACGTCTACACTGGCCCCTTTTCCGAAAGGGGCATGTTAATTTCACAGGTCGTAATAGGGAAATCCGCGGGGGATTTAAATATCCCCCGCGGCATTTAAATAAAAATATCCGCCGCTTTTTTCCGGCTTTTAGAAAAGCTGGAAAAGAGCGTCTACACTGGCCCCGATCCTCCGGAAAAAAAGCCCTTTTCCGGAGGATCTTATTCCTACTTCGAAGTAGGAATAAGATCCTCCGGAAAAGGGCTTTTTTTCCGGAGGATCGGGGCCAGTGTAGACGCTCTTTTCCAGCTTTTCTAAAAGCCGGAAAAAAGCGGCGGATATTTTTATTTAAATGCCGCGGGGGATATTTAAATCCCCCGCGGATTTCCCTATTACGACCTGTGAAATTAACATGCCCCTTTCGGAAAAGGGGCCAGTGTAGACGAGCCCACAGAGTTTAAAGCCAGAAGGGACCACTAGAACATCTATGGCCTTTCTGTACATCACAGGTCATGAAGACCAAGGGGCAACCACACACTATACCTAACATGAAACAAAATGAAATTAAATCAAAGTGTTACAATACACAGGAGATTAGACTGTTCTGTTTACAGAGAGGGAAGAGGAGAGATTAAGGAACACCATGCTCAAGGCTTCCACAATGGTAGGGAAATTATTAGATATACCCAGATAATCCTTGCCAGTGATCCGCATGCACACACTGAAGGGAAAGGTCATTGTTAAATCTAACTTGGGGATAATTCCTTCCCCAGCCTATGTATGGCAAACAGTAAGACCCAGATCATGTGAGCAAGAACCTGCTAGCCAAGCACCCGAAAGAAATAAAATCCTCAATGCCACTTCAGATCACTGGTCTACTTCCCTCCCAGTGTTCCATGTTCACCTATGGCTATCCCTGGTATTTCACAGAAAGGAGATAAATAAACCCTAAATATATTTGGGGAGAAAAAATTCCTTGCTGACTGGTGCTGGTGGCTGTCTGAAACTCTACAGCATGTATAATTGTCTTGAGGTCCCTCTTGAGGTCCCTTCCAGTCCTATTATTCTATGATTCTATGAGCTTTAGGAATATGAGACATGAACTAGAAATAATGTAAGGCCAGTAGTATAAATGCATGTGACAAATGTGTATTCAGTGTAAATAACTAATATTAAAAATATCCTCCACTGTACTTTATTAAAACCATATAGAGAAGAGAAGATGCTTAAACTTGATGAGAAAAAGAGCGAACTGAATCCAGAGGCATTTCTGTCATTGTGAAAACCATGTTTTTTTAACTGAGGAATGAGGCAACTTATGTGGAATGTCACAAAAGAAAGCTACTATGTGTCACGCTCTGCCTACACTAACTTCAAAATTTTGCAGTGCATACTGTATTGCTAGACTGTCTGTAATTTTCCATTATAAGTATCCTGAATGGGGTACATAAAAGCCTATACAATATTTAGACAATTGTATTTCCAGGTCTGCGAGATGTTGGCATACACAATGATACTGGGAGATCCTGTCAAAAATGTATAGCATAGATAATTTTAGGAATAATCTCAGTGGCAGTGTCTAGACTGCATCCCTTTTCTATAAAAGGGATGCAAATTAGACACATCGCAATTTCAAATGAAGCGGGGATTTAAATCCTCCCTGCTTCGTTTGCATAAACATGGCTGCCACTTTTTCTGGCTCAGAGTTTTGCCGGAAAAAAGCGCCAGTCTAGACGGGGATCTTTCGGAAAATAAAGCATTTTCCGAAAGATCCCTTATTCCTTTTTTTTTTTTTTTAAGAAAAAGGCTTTATTTTCCGAAAGATCCCCGTCTAGACTGGCGCTTTTTTCCGGCAAAGCTCCGAGCCGAAAAAAAGCGGCAGCCATGTTTATGCAAATGAAGCGAGGGGGATTTAAATCCCCGCTTCATTTGCAATTGCGATGTGTCTAATTTGCATCCCTTTTACGGAAAAGGGATGCAGTCTAGACACAGCCAGTGAGTATTTTGATCTACAATCTGGACAATAAACATGGAGACCCTCTTTATGCTTGGTCAGCCAAAATGAAACAGATTACAGATAATAAACTATAGACACTGATCATTAGAACTCTGAAACCAAGGTGATGGGTGCCTAAAACAGAGAGAATCATAAATAAGGACTAAACATTGACTTTATTTGCCAGAAATCTATTCAAAGCAAAATCTGTCAACAGGCTGGCTAAAATGAAAAGAACAGGATGTGCTATAATTTGGACTGAAATTCATTTCCACAGTCTGCCGTTTTTTTCAAATCAAGATCAGGAGCAAGACCTAACAATGAACTTCCTCTGTCGCATGGCTGTAATATGTGAATACAATTAAAGTCAGGAACTGAATGTGTATCTTGGGATGGAAATTCTACAAAAAGTCTAAAGAAATACCACATTTAGCATACAAAATATTCATGGCCTTTTCACTTTGTAAGCAATGGTAGGGCTACATATTCTGGCTCCGCATCAGGCTGAGCTGTTTGGCACAGAGGTCTGCCTGAAGCAGATAACCCCAAACAGGAAAGCCTTTACTACAGAGGCTGCAGAGTTGTGGACCTGCTAGGTAGGTAGTTCGTATAAGGGATTTCACTGTTTCTAGAGCTCATTGGCTAACATTCTCAGGCTCTTCATCCTTTTGCTTCCTTTCCCATTTGGTCCCACAAAGCGTGCACAGACTGCATGTCTTCACCATATGTAGTTATGTGGTAGTGAAGAGTTAGGGGGAAAAGAAGGCTATATGCATCTTAGAAAACAATTAAATGACCTGGCAAAGAGTGTGTTTGTAGAGGCACATTCTTTTTTCACACTCCTATTATTGGAAACTCCTATAGGGTCCTCCCTTGTTCCATCAGTCCCCTTTTATGTGAGAATTTTATGAGAGGGCATAAGGTAGCATTTGGACCATACATGTCTTCTCTCTATAGAACGAAGCCATCAGACAGGGGTAACCAATTGTTTACAATTCTTCCCCGGCTGAGTATAGTATTATAGTTAGTAGGGCTGTGGTAAAACTCAGTAGCTTATTACCTGTACCAAACTACAATTTAGTAATTCATGTCTTGACAACGTTTAAGATTTCATCCACAAAAAAATACAAATTTGGTACCAACTCAATCCTTTCTAGTTCAGATAACACTGTAGCATATTATTTTTTCTACCAAAAATGTTAATTGTCTTCAAATGCAAATACATTTACCTGTGGCTTCCTCTAGTGTGGCAACATCTAGTCTGGGACTATAATTTCCATAACCAGCAGCAGTAAAAGCACGAATTTGGAAAACATACACTGTTCCTGGTTTCAAGTTATTAATGGAAGCTGAAGTAGACTTGGTTTTTACTGTTGAATAGGTCCTCTCCCTTTGATCCTAGAAAAAATAAGTCAAAGAATGAAATTATATTTATAGGTTAGATTTTATTATAGTAGCACACAAGCAACTGACAACTTAGTCCTGGTAGTTTATTTCAATTTGCTGTGTTTTTTCCCCCATATAAAGAATGTAGTACACTCTGTGGAGCATTTCAACATAGTGTCATTTCATTGAGGGGTTCTTAAAATGACATAAAATGTAAATGGGAAGCACATGCTGTTTAGTCATAAAAATACAGAGATAAAATGACTGCCTTTGTGCCTCATTTCCTCAGATTTTGATGTGTGAATGATATGATTGTCAGTGAACTCCAAAGATGTTCTCTTTTGGTTGAAGAACAATATTAAAATGGTATCATAACAATTCAGCTCCTGCATTTAACAAAATCAATTTCTCTTATTGTTCCACCGAAAATAGGTTTTAGCCTGAATCCTTTTTTCAGACAACTCCCACTGTCTCAAAAGATATAGGAAGCTCTCTTTCTTCATTAGAGCAATGCTACTTACTTTCCTTTCTACATATTTCTGTTTCCAAAAACAGTATACCAGGTATTGGGCCAAACACTGATCCTTGACTACATTTTAACTCAGATTTCACTCAGGCAGATTCAAATTAATTCTACTGCATAAGGTAAAACAGATGAAAAACGGAATAGGGAATTCAGGATCTGAACCAGAAAAAAATATAACATAAATAGCAATATCTATACATAATCATTCACTTTTTAAATGCTACATAAGCTGAAACAGAAATGACAAACAAATTCAGATGGCATCTGATACAAGGCATTTGTTTGGCCAAATTTTCTTTCTGTGTAGATATGGGCGGCTCTGTTGATTTCAATGGCATTTTGCCCAGTTAAACCAGTGGAGAATTCTGTCCACTGTGTTTCAATGTAATAGCTAAGCTCTTTTTCTGAAATATAGCATTTCATATGATGTGTCAGATTTCTTGTATCAGATGTGATAATGCCTTCTCCCATGGTTTGTCCACTCTGTCTTTTGAGTGAACATGTCAGTTAGTATAGAAATATTTTTCATATCTTCCCCAAGAGAGAACGAGTCATTTTATAAGCAAAAAGGATTGCGTATGTGGAGAGAAAAGGGGATAAAAGGAAGGAGAAGGAAGCAGAAATACAAGGTAATGGCAATAGTTCTGTAACTCTAGCACAGTAAACATCAGTAGAACACTAGAAGTTTGGGTTCAAATAGATAAATTAATCTTATTTGATCTATGCCAACCTCTAGTATTAGAAGGGAAAAGAGGGCTAAAAATCTCAGAAGAACAGACTTGTCTGAGGGGTAGCCATGTTAGTCTGTATCTGCAAAAACAACAAGAAGTCATGTGGCACATTAAAGACTAACAGATTTTAATCTTGAAGCTTCAGGGAGTAGACGAGTTAGTCTGTACAGGATAAACTTAAAAAACAACAAATGGTCTGGTAGCACTTTATAGACTAACAAAACATGTTGTATCATGCGCTTTTGTGGGCATAGCTCACTTCTTCAGATGACCGGAGTTTTGAGTTTAGGATGTACAGACCCAAAATAAATAGGGGAGAAGGGAAAGGGAGGAAGGAAAAAACCCTCAAGATTTTGAATATGTTAGGCTTTAAGGTGCCACAGAACTCTCTCTCTTTCTCTTTTTTTTTAAGACTCGTGAGATTTCTGAACATTTCAGAACCCCAGAAACTTTTGATAACAGTTTGGTTCCAAAACAAGGTGAAAACTCAGGAAGGTTTTTTTTTTTTTAAGGATGTACATTGTGCAACTCTTTCTGTAAAAAAAACCCAAAACAACCATTTCACAATTAAAATACGTAAGGGCATGTACATGAGCAGTCCCACTGAATTCAAAAGACTACTCATAGAGGCAAAGTTTAGTTTCTGAGAAAACATTTGTAAGATCAGTGCCTTAGTCTTGAGTTTAAGGATGTTAAGAGGCGGGTCATTGACTAATCATGTAGTCGATACAATTTGTATCACTACACAAGTAGTCAATAAGGGTAGGTGCCAGTCCAGGAGCTACCTCCGTTGCGGCTCTGAAGTTTAAATGTAGTAAGAGCCAGGCACTCAGCTGGGACAGAGCTGGGAATGCTGTAGCTTTGCTCTCTCTACATCTAAAATGCAGAGCTGCAGCAGTCCCAGACCAGAGTGAGCTGGGCTTTCTCAGTCCCAACTTGCACTGGTGTCCAGCAGTCCCTGTCCATTAGGGGTCTCAACAGGGACTAGTCTCTGCCCAGCACAGGTCCAACACGGGCAGAGGCTGCTTCACAGCAGCCTCTCCTACCCCCAATTCCACTGCTCCCTCTGATATAGGCAGAGGCGTGGGGGGGGGGGTGGCAGGCAGATTTTAAGCTGGCTCTCCCCAGCAATGGTTCCTGTCCCGCCCCCAACCCTGTTGCTGCCTCTGATACAGAGGCAGTGGAGGCGGGGGGAGAGAGAGTAGTTGAGTAGTTGACTACCTGGTAAGCCTAAACTTATTGGGTAGTCGACTACTTGTCTACTCGCTTACATCCCTACTTGAATTTTCATTCGTTTGATTTTAATTGATGCCTGGCAGATATTTCCATCATAGCAGTGTTTTAATATATTGATTACGAATATCCTATTATCACAGCTCACTAAAACAAAATAAATATATCAAATAAATAACAAAAATCATATTCTCATAAGTCTTACTCAAAAAAGCTAAATGTTTTGTGATTTTATCCAGCATTTTCACTGTCTTACAAATACAATGATGATTTTTATAGACGAAAAACTATTTTGTATATGTAAAAATGGCCTTTATTTGCAAAAAAAAAAAAAAAGTACTGTTAGCCATTGCTAAGCATGTGAAGACTTGTAATTTATTCCAGAGTAGAATTTCGCTATTTTGTGTGCATGAACATAATGAATTAACTTGTAGAAACAATCATATTTCTATTGCAAGATATAAAAATCGAGATATGCAGCTCTGACAAGTGTTGTAATAAGAGTAATTAAACCATTTAATTCAGAGATATGATCATTCATCTCTCTATATTTTTAATCTTTCTAATTCATGTAAAAATCCATCAGAAATTTGTGTTATTCAGGAGAGAAAACTAGATGAGACTTTTGAAAATGGATAAAATCTGTTCTGAATTTACCTAATTGTATGTTACCTAGAAACTTGACATACTCAGCTCTGAAATAAATATAATCACTGGCTTGGCCATGGAGTTAAAATACATCTTTCAACAGCGATCATGAAAGGACTCCATTCTTTTGTTTATCCTTTATTATATCTTAATTCAGCCTTTTAAAATAAGTTTTATAGCACTAATTAGTATCTTGCATGTATAGGGCATATTTCACTCTAGAAGATTCAAACTTAAAAAAAAAAGCCCCAGGTTGTGGATGAATTCTTGGACTCACTGGTGTCAATGACAAAACAACCATTAACTTGAATGAGACCAGGATTTCACTCTACATATACAAAGATAACTTCACTCACCGTGGAAATGCAATCCCCCACTACCAACACATTATCAAAAGCTTCTAGTGGGGCAAATGAAAAATAATGTATCCAATTGAAATTTCAGGGAAAACAGATGAAAACTGAAGACATCAGTTGTAACTTGCCCAACTCTGGAAAAGCGACACAGGACATTTTATGACCACAAATGATCAGGAGCTTTATGTCTGATCTCAACAGCATACTTGCAACAGCCTAGAAGTATTAAATACAAGGGATAAGAGGTCACAAGTCTCTTGCAAAAACATTCACATCTCTGCTTATTGTAGTCCTATAAAAATGGGCAAGATCGTGTATGCTATCGAGTGGATGTTTTCATTTGTGTAATATACAAATACAATATACAGTACCCATGATGATAATAAACTAATGGGATAGGAAGATGGTTATTAAAAATCAACTACAGCCTGAAATGACACCAAGAGATAATAGCTGGTGTAATTATCACGGCATTAACATTTGCCCATGGAAGAATGGGATGACATGATGCAAATAGCACACCACTATGCATTTCACCTGCACTTACTTTCTCGTAATACTTGATTTCATATTCAGTGATGACTCCATTAGGATGTTCTGGTTCCTGCCAGGAAAGCTCCACGCTCCTTTGTAGTACTCTCTCTTTCATTACTTCACTAACTTGCGAGGGAGCTGTTTGGACGAGACGCGTCAATAAACAATGAGCAAATTTGCTGGATGTCTCGAATCAAATGTCACTGCCAATCAGTCCCATGCTGTGATGCTTTCATTAACGTAAAGGAAAGCACCTTTTCATAGCTCACAATTCAAAAGTTAATGAATATTCAAGCAGGACCTTATTACTGTTCATAAACTATAATACAAATCTAAATTAAAACGCAAACAGCAACAAGATAGCATTGTTCAAGCTACTGCAAAACTGGAATTGATCGGATCAGAATGACAATTAAGCAAATGAATTCTAATTAAGCCAGGAAAGTAAGTTTTCAGATTGATCTCCTGTGGCAAACTAGGAGTACAAATATTTATTAAACGTGTTTTGACAAATTTAAAAAAAAATCAAAATGAAGAGAAAGAAAGATAAAGACTATCATACCAGGGCTGATTTCAAATGGATGCTTCTAGATCTAGTTCAAACAATTACCAGCAATATTCTTTTACCCATTTGCTTTGTATTGAACCTTACATAGTAAAGATTGCAAACCTGTTTCAATTATAAAACTTTTTTTCCCCACTCACTCAAATCTTCCTGAGACATTCCTTTTGGGTGAAATTTTCAAGTCTTAATCTCAATGCTTGGTGAAAGTTTGACAAATTAATTAATACAGCATGTTCTTGTGGGGGTTGGGGAGAAAGAGGTAAAACAAAGGAAAACAAACCCCGTTCCAACCTTTCCCGCAAAAGCAAAAAACAAAACATAACAAAACCCAGCCAACAAAAGCTATACCCTATGTTTTTCCCTCCTGCATGATTCTTTTGATGCACATACCACAAAAAACAGGTGAATTCTGGAACTTCAAGCATGGTGTGCAAAGAGTATGACAGCAGCGTCTCATTTAAAAATATATTGATCAGATAAAGTGATCGTTAAGTTATAAAGTGATTGAATAGGTTAGTGCACAAGTCATTTTGATTTTTCTTAATAGGGATCCAAGTTCTGGGTAAAACGAATCATTTTCTAATGCTAATCCTTTCTAATGCTACTGAATGGTGACAGATTTTCATTTTTATTATTGAGTGGATCTAGTGAAACCATCTTTCCAAGGGGCATTTCCAAAGATGAGGAAAGGACAAGAAAAAAGTAAATTACAACATGGAACAGAAAATGACCCAAATATAAGCATTGTGCAAATGTGAGTTGTATAACATGTATAACCTGTTTGGTTATAACCTCTTGTCCTATGGAAAGAATTCCATAGAAGAATTCTGAGCTAGACAGGAATACTCATGAATTGTGATACCCTTCCAAAGGAGTGCATTTAAGGCTTTTTGTTTTTAGAAGATCCTCATGAAACCCATCTGCTGCCCAGTTGAAGTGATAAATGTATCATGAAATGCACAAAACTCAACCCTTATAAATGACTGCTTAATATCAGCATCAGGAGAAAATCATGAGTGACAAAATATTGTGGATTCCATGATTCAAACGGTCTTTGAAAAAGTTCTCCTCCATTTTGTGAGAGTCTGTAAATCATAACTCATCAGTTTGGGGGGAAAAAGTGAGACTTTTTTTCAGAGATGCAGATCATGCATCATGTCACACTGTGGTGGCTGTATCTCATCTAAGACAAATAATCGGCCTGGTGACAGATTTAGGCTCTATCCAGAAGGAACCCAAAAACAGTCTGGGGCCTTTTGCTGCAGCTAGTGAGTGAATTCTGTTTTACTTTACCTAATTTGAACCAATTCCAATATTAAGCATTTTTCTCCTCTTCATTTAAAAAATATGTGTAATATTTATTTAAATGCAAAATTAAATGCTGTACAAATAACATGAAAATATGTGCAGCGTGGCCAAGTTAATGTTGCTCTAAGAAACTCAATTTCTGCATTCCCCAACCTCTTTTTATTTTAATTGTGCATTAGTATACCTTTTAAAATGTAACCTATTTATGTTTCATTAGAGAATCCTGGGAAACAAAGGATTCAATCCATGCCTGATAATTTTCATTATGACCTATTATGTCATTAGTCAACAAATCAAAGTTGAAGTCCCCTAACATAGGCTGCTGAACTGATAACATCTTATAACTGTATCATACAAACTTCCTGGTTTAGTAGAAGCATTCCAAATTCAAAATCAAGTTCTCTCTCTCTCTCTCTCTCTCTCTCTCACTCTCTCTCTCTCTCCATGCTTGGAGTATTTTCACTCTAATTAGTGGCATATACTCCTTTGGTAGCTAAGACTCTGGAATGCAGCAAACCAATTTACTCTGTCTAATTTTCTTTATGATGATTAACCAGTTGTCTTCTTTGTCTAAATGAGTAGCAACAGCATGTTGGTTGAATTTCAGAGGGGGAATTGTGTTTCATGTATCATATTCTGTTTCACGCAGTAAAACATTTTCAGTCTGTTAATTTAAAACTTTAGATGTCCAAAACTGTTAATGTCAACTTAATCTAATACAATTATGCATTACTGAGGCCATCTGAAATTGTTTCCAATGTTCACTCCCTTTGGTTTTCATCCTATTTACTTTTTATATTTTTAACCAAGGAACACTTTGGGATTAGTTAACCTTGCTTATCTAGGATATTGTGGAATAGTGTGAACTATGCATGGCTCCCACTTAACCCCTGCACAAAGCATACAACAACAAAGGACTATTTAATCTTTTCCTATGAAGAAAACAAATTAAGAGGAGGAAAATTTGACTGTTTTGCAAATCTTCCAAATTATATTGTAGATGTGCAAAACTACTTTGAGTTCTTAATTGGCAGCTCCTTCCAAAATTGATTTGATTTAAAAGTAAAGTAAAATATTTTTCCTAGTTAAAGGGAACACTGTTCTGTGTATTAATGCTAACAAAGGCCACAGTCAGTAATTCCCTTGGTGTAAGGTGGCTCGAGGTTGGTGTAGGTGACCCTAAGACACATTTTAGCTGGCTTGAAGCCTCTGGTGGGAGAAGAAGAGGAGCAATGTTGGCAAGAGATTGATTGTGACCCAAGTGTTCTACTCTGGCTATTTGGACAAGCAGATCAGTTCATGGGTGCCTCTGCGAAACTACTGGGAGTTGAAGCAATAAGGTAGATTGCTCCAACTTTACCGGTTGAATTGTGGAACCAGTGCTCAGACACAGAGGTGACTTTATGCCACTTTTACCATGCCTCCTGGGCTGCATTTTCTGAGGTTCTTATAAGAGGTGCAGCTCTGTATTTTTTTTTCATTAGAATTTCTCTCTATGGTAAGCTTACCCTAGTCTCTGTCTCTCATAATACTGCTTTGTATCATATTTTCATTGATGTTTTCCTCTGACTTTTCTGATCCTTACATCCATGTCAGCCACCTCCCCACAGGTTTCTTGAAGGTCATGAGCATACTTAATAAATCATTAGAATTATTGAATCTATAATGTTTTTGTGAGTTCAAAAAAAATCCAACCATGTTAATCCATTCCATAAAAGGAACCAGTAGAGCTAAAAAACAGCATAAAAAATCATCCCATAAACAGCCTTAAACAACAACAAAAGCAAAACTAGAATTATGGCTACATTGCTAAAGAAATGCTGCTGTATTTCTCCATTCCAGTAAACTGGTAGCTGTGGAAGGATCTATAGCAAAGATGCTTGAGGTAGAGACAGTTCTGACAGCATTCCCAGTCAGCTATGAACCTGATGGGGAAGGAGGGTTATATTCATTCTTCAGCTCCCCCTGCACCAGTGCTCCCAAGAGATACCATTTCTCAGAATCCAACTAATTATTTCTATGATGTGCTCTGCTGGGGAACACGGTCTTCAGAACACTCTCTGCTACCAACTTCCTTTCTGACGTTCCTCACCTCCCATTTCCTTCCTTCACACTGACACAACAACCTGTGCCTCATACACTCACAGCCAACAAGAGCTGACAGGTGGATGTCCTTACACATGCTGCAGAAGAATGCACTGCTAGCATGACAGGCACTCTGCCTACCCTTTCCCCTTTTCTAAGTGCTTCAAATATACCATTCAGCACAAGAAAAAATTGATTTTTCACCAGGTTTCAACATCGTGGCCATAAAGAAATATAACTCTGCTGGGCTTTACTGATAAAGCCTTCAAGTTTTATGGATTTCAAGCTGGTCATCATTTTTAGATCAGGTTGTAGAGTAAATTAAAATGGAAGTGTCAAAAGGAACAGGATATTCCAAGGAAATACTTTGCTATGAAGAGAACATTGTATTTGGTAGCGCAATATGTTACGTCCACCTCCCTAAACCAACCACATCACACATTATTAATAATATATATGAGTACTTAGATAAAAAAAACTGCAATGACAGTGTTAGAAATGAATCCTTTTTACCGAACTTTTTGAACACTTTTCAAACCCACTCCTTGACCATGTCTTTAACCTATATCCTGAGCTAAATAAATGTACTTAAGTCTCCACAGTTCTCAGTCCTAGAATTTTCCTCAATACAGTGTGATAACATTTCCAAAGTACAGTGACGGATGTGAAATGAAATGCTTTCCTCTTTGTATTAACTTGAGACCAGAATGGAAAAAAAAGTGACAGCTGAAAAACTAAAAGTATGGGAAGCTGGAGTTTGCTGTATATCAGCAAGTAAGGCACTTTTAGCACAAAATCATCTGAAATGCAGTTTTCATAAAAATATTCAGCAAAAGAGAGCTACTCAGCCATTTCTCCAAGATTTGTTAGACTTAAAAGTTCCATACATCAAGGCAGTGCAATTACATCCAGCAACATCTGTCATGGAAACTTTTCATTTGATGTGCTTTGTGAGAAATCTGTCTTGAAATAACATTTCCAAGCAGAACATATTCATGTAGAAGTGGTATTTGCATTAAGGAAAATTGCTCAAATCCTTAAGGAATGAGAGGCTCAATACTGCAGTCCTAAATTAGGCACACACACACAAAATATCCCATTGAACTGATGACAGTAAACACTGCAAGACTGGGGGATCCCTATTATACAATGATAGCAGAACAATGGATGCAAACGGTGTTTTCTCATTAACTATCAGTGTTGCCATAGTAATATTATGTCCAGTAAGAGAACAGGGTTGACTGTTTACTTATTTTTCATATATCTCTTTATTTTATAAAAAGACATGGCAATTAGGACTTGATTCTATACTCTGAAATCAGTAACAAAGCTCCCATTTACTTTAATGGTACAGCATCCTAACAGCATTTATAGCGTGGCTTTTGGCCTTGTAATTTGTTGCCTCTCCAAAATATGCTGCAATTATTCAGTAGATTTTTCATAATGCAGTGTTCAGATCTAGTTTTATATCACTGTAAATATTTATTGTAGGGTACAATAAAATTACATGAACTACTAGCAACATTTTTCCATAAGGGTATACTGTATCAATTAACAATGCTTTCAGCATTCAGGTTTACCTCCTAAAAAGTGCAAATAATAAATGGAATTACTAGTCATTCCATTAACTATATTTATTTAAATAATGTCTCCTTCAACTATATATTGTCTATTTTCTCTGAAGATTATAGTAGCCTACAATTGCTCTAAATTTACTTCCATTTTAACTGAGCTTAGTATATGGCTCATTATGTACAGTACATGCAAAAGTCTACATAGAAAGACACCAAAATAGGAAAATATTAGCACTAGTCTATTATCAGCCCTTATGTGGCTGTTCAAGGAGGTAATAAAATCTCTCTGTTTCTCTATTATCAGTCCTGCGTAAGGGCGGAAGCAAATTACTCTTCCCCCTGGTGTAACTAGGGAGTTTGGGGAGATGGTGCAGCTCCACACAATATCTTATACTAGACCATCACAATTTAACCCAGAAAGTGTATGTTGGTACTGACTTCAATAGAGTCTCTCTGGGTTTACACAGGCATAGCTAAAATCAAATCTTGCCCCATATCTTTGTATACATTTGCTGGTGTAAATATTTCCCTTAATTGTTTACTGCAGCATTATTTGTGGAGCATTTTTGGGAACAAAGTCTGTGCTGTGTGATGGAATGGATACTCAGCTTCTGATAGTGATCTGGTCTACCTCTCTTTCTAAGGGAATTTGGCTGTTCTGAAACATTTGTGTATATTCATTATTGCACTAAGGTGCCAAAATTATAAAGTAGTACATACAAAAATGGCAGAAGAAACCATGACAGCTTTTGAAGTGAATATTTTAAAGTTGAGACAAAAATGTACAACAATAGCTTTTGTTACAGTGTATATCTTTGGCCCTCAGTTAAGTCTCCACAGGACAAAGCAGCCTGTGATAAAAGGTTATTGAGTACCACTGTATTATGCCATTAGTACCTATTGCTCTGGATCAATGACAGAGAAATTCCCCACTGTGATTACAAGCTGCAGCATACAGAAACATATCCAAATAAATCAGTTATTTTACACTAACAACATCCTACAGAGAAGCCACTTTAACTTCCCCTCTGACACACTTTTGCTTTCTGGCTCATAAATATAACACTGTGTGCTTACAATGCTCTGTAAACTGTGGGTAGAAAGGCAACCAGCTCCCTGAATCACTTGGGAATTTTTAAGTAGTGATGGTAAAAGGCAACAAACTCAAGTAATAGCTGACTGCACGACTCCATTACAGCTTCTTTTCATTGTTTTTGTGGTTGAAAAGCTCCTAAATTACCTGCTGATCTATGGGGAGCAACAGTAACAATGGCTGTTTGAATACCTCTGCAAATCAATTAAGGAAAACCAGGAGTCAGAAAAGGATTTAAAGGAATCTACATTCTGATCAGCTGGCTTTGATTCACTCCCACCGAACATATTGAATATTCA